GAGTGAGGTGACAATGTAAAATGTGCTCTTTCTACGTTTATAGGCGCCCTTTCCTTTTTTTACAATCCATGATCTTGGCTGACTAACTGATGACAGAGTTGGAGGTCTCTTTGGAGGTCTCTTTGTTTGACTTTGAATGAGAGTTTGCGTGGCCTCTGCTCAGCCTATCAGAAAACCGGGCCGGCCCATCTTGGTAGGGGGGGCGGCTGTTGCCCACTGATCAGCCAAAGACTCATTATAGATTAGTATCCAGGCTCTGTCGTAGCCGCCCGCGACCGGGAGACCCATGGGGCGGCGCGCAATTGGCCCAGCGTCGTCCAGGGTAGGGGAGGGAATAACCGGCAGGGATGTAGCTCAGTTGATAGAGCATGGCGTTTGCAACGCCAGGGTTGTGGGTTCGATTCCCACAGGGGGTAGGAAAAAATAAATAATGTATGCATTCACTAACTGTAAGTCGCTCTGGATAAGAGAGCTAAATGACTAAAATGTAAATGTAAGTATAACAGGCATTTGGGCGCTGGCCACGTCAACCAGCCTACCCCCCAAAAAATTGCCCAGCCCATCTGGCATTTGCCAGAATTGCCAGATGGCCAATCAGCCCCTGGCACTGGTTGAGTTGCTTCCTGTGATCAAGATGTAGTTGTCCCTGATTGCACTGACTTTGCTCACAGCTGCTTCTTTGAAGAAGTGTACTTACTGTGATCAAGATGTGGTTGTCCCACTGGCTATCCTAAGTTGAATGCACCAATTTGTAAGTCGCTCTGGATAAGAACGTCTGCTAAATGACATAAATGTAAAATGTAAATGTGCCCTTATGAGGTGTTTTCTTTGTAGTCTGGGACACTAATGGCCAATCGACAGGGAATCCCAGGGGAATAAATGCAATGCATCATACCACACAATGAATTATAGTAGACAGTCACCTTAATCAAGAGGAGGATATATGGCACAATCTTCTTGATAAACCTGAAAATACTAATTAAATTCTAATAAAATACAATAGTATTGTATGGAAAGAAATGCACTGTAGCATTGCCATCTAGGGCCTACAAGTTATTCAGTGGGCTGTTTCTCCACCTAGTGGTGAATCTTCATCACTACAGATGCGCGTAATGAGCAGAAAGCGCAGCAGCATCCAAAATGGTATTTCCATTGCTTCTATAAATTATGTAATGTTGCTAGGTCGCAAATGTTACTGTGCAGCTAAACTAACGAAGAAGGCGTAAAATAAACTCCTGAAACTAGATCCCCTACATACTAAAAACTGTTGGGGGAGGTTCTCTTCTGAACAGTTCAACCAATCCAGTAAATGTGGAGGAGGAGTTAATATGGAGTCTCGCCTGTACGGTCTGTTGTTTCTGTTCAAAGCAGAAGTTGCGTCACAGGCCATCTTTCCATTTCCCCTGAAAACTGGAACATCCGGTTGTTGGGGACTCGACAAGGCTACTGTGCAGCTACCCTAGGTTTTATTTATTTATTTTAACAAATTAGATCAGCTCTGAGAAAGATAGTCAAAAAAACAATTAGTGGAAAAAAATATCAGAATTGGGGCTGCCTGTGTAAACGCAGCCTAAGTCTAGTTGAGGTCAAGACCTATTGCTTCACTATTGTCCACTTTCACTACAGATTCTTCATAGAAAATACCAGTAAGCACTATTGCAACAGTTTTTGTTGATGGGGTTTTGAACAATGTTAAATTAATATTTATTCTACATTGTGCCAGCAGCATACCACCCTGCATCCCACTGCCAGCTTGCCTCTGAAGCTAACCAGGGTTGGTCCTGGATGGGAGATGTAGTCCCCTGTACCTCAGTTGGTAGAGCATGGCGCTTGCAACGCCAGGGTTGTGGGTTCGTTTCCCACGGGGGCCAGTATGAAAAATGTATGCACTAACTGTAAAACGCTCTGGATCAGATGCTGCTGGAAGTGGTGTTGGAAGGCCAGTAGGAAGCACCCTTTCCTCTGGTCAAAAAAATAATAAAAGAAGATGCCCCAGGGCAGTGATAGGGTCTTTCGGTTGGGACGTTAAAGAGGTGTCTTGACTCTGTGATCAGTTAAAGATCCCATGGCACTTACCATAGGGGTGTTAACCCCGGTTTCCTGACTAAATTCCCAATCTGGCCCTCTCAGCATCATGGCCACCTAATCATCCCCAGCTTCCAATTGGCTCATTCATCCCCTGTAACTATTCCCCAGGTCATTGTGGAGAATGTGTTCTTAGTTAACTTCCCTGGTCAAATAAAACAATTCTAAGGTGCTGCTTGTAGAGTTAACTTAAAACTATTAAGCACCTTAAATGTAATTATACAAGTAGGACTGATGCAAGGTTGTTGAACTCCCCAATGTAAATAAACCAAGCACCAACAGACAGAAAACCATGAGTGGTGGTGCCACTGAAAGTCAGTGTAAAGTGTAGAAATCAGGAAAAAGAGCTTCAGGTGCATTTTAATGCCAAGACATACACTGTGGCCAGTTTATTAGGTACCACCCCGTTCACGAAATTGGTTCGCTCCTACAGACAGTGAGTCACGTGGCTTGGTATATAAAGCAGGCAGACAGGCATCCACTTACTGTTCGATTTAACGTTAGAATGGGCTAAACGAGTGACCTAAGCAACTGAGCATGGTATGATCCAGTGCCAGGCCTCCTGGGCTTTTCACCCATGACAACGTCTAGGGTTTACCGAACATGGTGTGACAAACAAAAAACATCCAGTCTTGTGGGAGAAAACAGCTTGTTGATGAGAGGTCGAAGGAGAACGGCAAGAATCGTGCAAGCTAACAGGCGGGCCACAAACAGACAAATAACGGCGCAGTACAACAGTGGTGTGTAGCACGGTATCTCGGAATGCACAACTCAGCGGTCTTTGTCACGGATGGGCTATTGCTGCAGATGACCACACCAGGTTCCACTCCTATCAGCTAAAAACAAAAAGAAGCAGCTCCAATGGGCACGCGATCACAAACACAGGACAACTGAGGAGTGGAAAAACATTGCCTGGTCAGACGAATCCCAGTTCCTGTGAGTCAGGATTAGGCGTAAGCAGCATGAGTCCATGGCGCCATCCTGCCTGGTGTCAACGGTACAGGCTGGTGGTGGTGGTGTAATGATGTGGGGAATGTTTTCCTTACACACGTTAGGTCCCTTGATACCAATTGAGCAACGTTTCCATGACCCAAAGAATTCAGGCTGTCCTGGAGGCAAAAGTGGGTCCGACCCGGTACTAGATGGGTGTACCTAATAAATTGGCATCAGTGTATATGTATATATTTTTGTAAAGTATAAAAACAATAATTCCTTAAATTCCTGCCCAATTAGTCACCTGAAAGGAGGATACCTAGTGCGTTGTACAATCACCCAGCGGTCCTATGTAGCTGACAGACAAAAAGTGAATACCTAGCTCGATATTTTCACAAATTACGTTTTTAATGATATACACAATAGAAAAAAATATATCGCAAACAATTCAGCACACTGTCAGAAATAAACAATGTCTCCATGAGAATGAACATTGACCCTAAGCTCTCCAAGCATTACGGCAGCCTGTATCTCATTTTCTACAAGGCTTCCTAGAAACTCACCCCATAACTTTTCACCCTACTGAATACATCCCTGTTGTTCCTGATGTCTGAAAGCAGGAAGTTGCCCCACTATGAATGATAGAGATTATATCACTGAGTCTACATAACAGCAGCATTATGGCAAGCACTCCTGTCTCTACCTTCTTTCTTATTTCTGAAAGTGCGGTCAGAAGATTTATGAGACTGATCGCGTGTCGCTGCCACACCATTACAGCTATGGTTTTTGTAGTGTCTTATGTCAGAAAAGCCCTTTCCACATCTCTTGCAATAGTAAGGCCTCACTCCAGTGTGGACTTGCATGTGGGCTTTGACATTGTTGGCTTGGCCGAAACCTCTCCCACAGACATCACATTTGAATGGCTTCTCTCCCGTGTGGACTCGCTCATGCCTTTTGAGATTGGTGCCGACTGAGAAAGTCTTGTCACAATAACTGCATTTGAAGGGCTTTTCACCTGTATGGGTACGCTCATGTCCTTCAAGGGCTTGCTTAAGAACAAATTTCTTTTCACAGTATTTACAAGCGTATGGCTTCACTCCACTGTGAAGTCTCATGTGATAGTCAAAAGTATTTTTATAGGCAAAGGTCTTTCCGCAAATGGAACAAGAGTATTGCTTTAGTCCTGTGTGAATTCGTTGATGGTTTTTCAGAGTTAGCATGGAGCTGAAGCCGTTCAAACATATGTTGCAACTGAATGGCTTTGTTGAGGTTCCTGGTCTCTCTCTCGTTCTCTCTCTTCTCTGTCGTTCTTTCTGCTTCTCTCCTTCAGCTGTGTGCCATTTTAGATGGTGTCGTCTCATTAGAAAATTGTACATAAAAGTCTTCCCACATAGGTCACACATAAATGGTTTGGTTGCCCCATGACGGTGCATGTGAGCTTTTAAGAGGGTGGACTGAAGGTAGCTTGTTCCACACACTTTACATTTGTACGGTCTCTCGCCTGTGTGAAGCACTTGGTGTCTCACAAGGTTTCCTTTATGGCCGAAAGCAGCTCCACATGTCTCACATGTAAATGGTTTCTGCCCTGTATGAATTACCTTGTGTCTTTCAAGGCTGGATTTAGTCATAAAGCTTTTACCACACTCTGAGCATGAATGTGGACGTTCACCTGTATGTGTTCGCATATGATAACTCAGGCCACCACTCTGTGTGTAACTCTTCCCACATACAGCACAGCTGTATGGTTTTTCACCGGTGTGGATTCTCTCGTGCTCGATAAGCAGTTTCTTTGCTGTGAAACCCTTTTCACAAGTCAGGCACTTGAACGGTCTCTCCACTGCATGAACAAGCTGATGTCGTTTCAGATCTTTCTTGGTAGAGAATGTATTTTCACAGACTTTGCAACTGAACGTTTTTTCTCTGTGACGCAACATGTGATGTTCGAGCTGCTTAGACATTCTGAATATTTTGCCACATTGACCACAAGCGAATGGCCTCTCTCCTGTGTGAATTAGCTTGTGACGTACCAGCAAGCGGTTCCGGCTGAAGGCCTTGTCACAAACATCACACTTGAAGGGTCTTGTGTGAGTTAGCGTGTGAGCTTCCAGTGACCCTTCCATGCTGAAGGTCTTTTCACAAACATCACACTTGAAGGGTCTTGTGTGAGTTAGCTTGTGTTGTACCAGCCGTTTGTTCCGGCTGAAGGTCTTCTCACAAATATCACACTTGAAGCGTTTGGTTTCTTTGGATCGTGTCCCTCTAGTAGTATTGCCGTTTTTCTGGCTTTCATGGCCGTCTCTCTCGTTGCCCTCTGGCAGAGCAGCTCTCATATGCTCAACGTTGGATTCGGTGTCTCTTGGGGAGGGGTCTGTATTCAGTCCATCTGTGTCTCCCAGAGAGGAGTCATTCTCCAATGAAGACGTCTCTGTGGGTTTACTGCAAACCTTTGCAGGACCTAAAGATAAAAGGAATATGAGTATATACACACAAAACTATAAATTAAGCAGGTTTTACACATTTGAGGATTATACCAAACTAATTTCATTAATAAAAAATACGTTGTCTTGTATTAATTCATTTCAGTTTTAAATCATGAAAATCAAGTTCACTGTATGAATGATTCAATTTGTCCATTACATTCAAAATATTGAATTCAAATACAGTTTCTGTTGGCACTGAAATCGCTCCATACTGAACGCCCCATTGAGCCGGAGCCTATATATGTCCTGTTTCTGTTGCATTAGGCATCTTGATGTACAAATAGACCAGCTGGAAAGGACACTAGTCTAATTTAGTTAGTAAAATACATTTACCAATATATATGGTGGTCCGTGCAATCCAGTTCCTTGGGACGTCCCTACCCCAATGAAGTTGACATTTTAAATGGTTAGGATTCCGGATTGCACTGACCCAACCCTAATGGCAATTTCAATAAAATGTTTTTACATGAGCGTTAAAATAAGCATACTTTTACCAGGCTGTGTATTGTTTTCAAACAACTGGGTCATCTGCTCGACCTTGGTCTTCAGTTTCACGTTCTCATTTTGTAAACTCGAGGAAGCCACTAGGAATAGTTGGCAGATTTTACGAATAGCCTCCTCCATCATCAGATTCATAATTGTGCAAAGCTGTGTAGAGAAATTGAAAAATGTTACCTTAATAGCTAGCTAGCTAGCTATATGCTGCTACAGCAAAGAGGACGTGAGACCAATAAAGTTAGCAAACTAGTTAACGTTAGTAGCTAGCTAGCTAATGTTAGCCAGCTAGAGAAGCAAATTACAGGACGCTAGCTAACTTAGCTAGCTAATTTAGGCATAGTTACATCATGTGCTTAAAAACCGACGTTAGGTAAACTAGCTAGCAACTAGACAGCGTAACGTAGTTTACCAGTATCTTGACGTAACTTTAGCTCACCTCTCTCTCCGGATTGCTAACGTTAGCGTAAGAGTTTGGCCAAAGTTTGTTAATTTCTGTAATTGCCGCCTCGACGAAAACGGCCATAATCGATGTTGTTTCTGACTGGTACATGTTGTAAAATGTAGCCATTTTGCCCTCAGACTAATTTGCATAGAATAACAACCAAGCTAACTATGTAGCTAGCATCTGCCAGCAATGGGACGCTAGTCGTCAGAGATACTAAGATGGTCTTGACTCCGTCTAACAATGGAAGCAGTTGTCCCAAACGTGGGAAGGCAGGGTTTTGGCTAGAACGGATACAGTTTTTGTCAAAATTGACTTTTCGTAGCAAATTAGGAGAACGTACGCAGCAGATTAGAATAATTAACGTAACAGGTTAGGATATTATTAGGTTAAAGTTAGGAAAAGAGTTAGGGTTAGCTAAAATGCAACAAAAAAATGACAAATTGTATACCGAAGATTTTTTATAACTAACCCAGGATAGACCACAGGCGGTTGTTTCCAACGCCTACTCTGAAGTGCCCGTGTGCACTAACTCAATTCGCCCTTCCACTCCTTCTAAACAACGCATTTAAAATAAAATTAACTTTGACAAAGTCTACAAAAAAACCTAGTCCACGCTGTCCGTAACAGATTCTAGTTTGGGAAACAGAAAACTATGGAGATCAAATGTTTCATCGATGAGAAAATTAGCAGAATGTCGCCCCAAATCCATCTTCTCCCATTCCCGGCCACTGGGCTTCCTTTCACCACCCTATTTGGTGGTGAGTGGAAACGCCAACCGGATGCTTCACATTTATACATCCGGTAAAATATCTGTCTCATATCTGTGTATACCTTCTAGACATGACCGGAAGGCAGGCAGTCTTCGGTTGTCACTAGTTACCACAGCCACAAAGTCAAAATAGGCTATATCGTAAAAATGTATGAAAACAAAATACAGCTTTTTGGTCTTAATTTAGGATTTGCAGTGTGGTTACGGTTAGCCTTAAACTCGTATTTTAAGAAGAGACGTTGTAGAAAAAAAAAGCGAGTTTATAACTTTGTGGCTGTGGTCTTCTTTTCGTTCTTCTTCTATGGTATTATGGCGGTCTGCAAACATACGTTAGAGGTGCATGCTGTCATCTATTGCACGGGCTGTTCTGGAGTGTGAATTCATGATACTTTCTGACAGAAAAAGGACAGGGGGAAAGGAAGAAGAACTGCCCTACCAACTGCTTCCCTACCAACTAAGTGTTTCTAAACCCAGAGGCGACACATTGCAGGACTTCTGGGAACATTTGCGAAACAGACAAAGCCGACCAGGCCGGGGTTTGAGAAGTAAATGAGATAAATGAAAAAATATTCCTTAGTTGTTAAATGTTAAACTTCTTAAGACAATTATATTTGTGTGTCTAACTTTCTCACTCATTATTCACGATTCATTCAGCATTATCTGTACTGATGGTTGCATCCACATTCATGTAGCAGTGTTTAGAAGTATATTATATTCTTATTTACAATAAAAGTGACTACAAAATGACACAATCCATTTACATTTACATTTTAGTCATTTAGCAGACGCTCTTATCCAGAGCGACTTACAGTTAGTGAGTGCATACATTATTTTTTCATACTGGCCCCCCGTGGGAATCGAACCCACAACCCTGGCATTGCAAACGCCATGCTCTACCAACTGAGCTACATCCCTGCCGGCCATTCCCTCCCATACCCTGGACGACGCTGGGGCAATTGTGCGCCGCTCCATGGGTCTCCCTTACCATTCATTTCTATTGGGCACAAAATAATCTGAAACACAACCAAAACAAAGAGCAAATGCATCCAAAAAATGTGTAGAATCACAAGTGTAGTCATTGCTTGCTATGAACATGGGACCAAATATTTAACTTTGTACTACTTTAATAACAGTGGCAGTCGGTGCAGTTTAAAATGAGGGAAGATTATTGATTTTTTTATGAGCATGGCCTTATTTCTATGACTGCATACTGGATGACTGTCATTCATATTCCAGTCACCCAGCTAAATGTAACATTGATAGGTTTAGGCTACTACATGATACTCAAATTTTCCCTCATTACGTTTCTACAACCTAGCCTATGTAGGAAAGTTTACAACGTAGAGAATTTTCAGTAATCAAGGTGACAGACAGGGACACAAAAACCGCCTTGCACACTCTTGCCTGCGTCTAGCTGATCTAGGAAGTGATCATTAGTCCAACAGCTGCAAATGTGAATTTATATTGGACAAATTCAGGTATTTTTATCCCCCTTTCATTCCGTTTGCTTCAGTTTAAGAAACGTTTTTCAACAGAATCGGCGGAATGAATACACCCCTGATCACACGCAAACACAGTTCACGTTCATAGCAGCCACATAAAAACAGCATGATCACTTCGCTCGTTGTATATATAATTACTTCTCGCAACTATCTACTCGCTCTCCTCCTCTCACCTTTTCCCTTCGCTTGTAGACATCAGTGCACAACATATTAGCTGTCTGTGACCAGGCAAAAAAATACTTTCCAAGCCAAACCTTCATATCATGACCGCTAAACTGTGCATTCGTAAAGTATTCAGATCCCTTCACTTTTTCCATATTTTGTTACATTATAGCCTTATTCTAAAATGTATTAAATAATTGTTTTCCCCTCATCAATATACACACACAATACCCCATAATGACAAAGCAAAAACAGTTTTTCTTTGGCAAATGTATTAAAAATTTAAACCAGAAATACCCGATTTACATAAGTATTCAGACCCTTTGCTATGAGACTCGAAATTGAGCTCAGGTGCATCCTTGAGATGTTTCTACAACTTGGAGTCCACCTGTGGTACATTCAGTTGATTGGTCATGATTTGGAAAGGCACACACCTGTGCACCAGTTGACAGTGCATATCAGAGCAAAAACCAAGCCATGAGGTAGAAGGAATTGTCCGTAGAGCTCCAAGATGGGATTGTGTCAAGGCACAGATCTGGGGAAGGGTACCAAAACATTTCTGCAGCATTGAAGGTCCCCAAGAACACAGTGGCCTCCATCATTCTTAAATGGAAGAAGTTTGAAACCAAGACTCTTCCTAGAGCTGGCTGGCCAGCCAAACTGAGCAATCGTGGGAGTAGGGCCTTGGTCAGGGAGGTGACCAAGAACCCGATGGTCACTCTGAAAAAACTCCAGAGTTCCTCTGTGGAGATGGGAGAACCTTCCAGAAGGACAACCATCTTTGCAGCACTCCACCAATCAGGCCTTTATGGTAGAGTGGCCAGGCGAAAGCCACTCCTCAGTAAAAGGCACATGACAGCCCGCTTGGAGTTTGCCAAAAGGCACCTAAAGGACTCTGACCATGAGAAACAAGATTATCTGGTCTGATGAAACCAAGATTGAACTCTTTGGCCTGAATGCCAAGCGTCACGTCTGGAGGAAACCTGGTGCCATCCCTACGGTGAAGCATGGTGGGTGGCAGCATCATGCTGTGGGGATGTTTTTCAGCGACATGGACTTGGAGACTAGTCAGGATCGAGGGAAAGATGAACGGAGCAAAGTACAGAGAGCTCCTTGATGAAAACCTGCTCCAGAGCGCTCAGACTGGGGCAAAGGTTCACCTTCCAACAGGACAACGACCCTAAGCACACAGCCAAGACAACGCAGGAGTGGCTTCGGGACAAGTCTCAATGTCCTTAAGTGGCCCAGCCAGAGCCCGGGCTTGAACCCAATCAAACATCTCTGGAGAGACCTGAAAATAGCTGTGCAGCGACGCTCCCCATCCAACCTGACAGAGCTTGAGAGGATCTGCAGAGACAAATACAGGTGTGCCAAGCTTCTAGCGTTATACCCAAGAAGACTTGAGGCTGTAATCGCTGCCAAAGGTGCTTCAACAAAGTACTGAGTAAAGGGTCTGAATACTTATGTAAAAAAACATTTATAAAAACCTGTTTTTGCTTTGTCATTATGGGGAATTGTGTGTAGATTGATGAAAAAAAAAATACAAAATTCATCAATTTTAGAATAACGTAACATGTGGAAAGGGGTCTGAATACATTCCGAATGCACTGTAACTGCTACACACAGCCTACTAGAATTAACGTGTTCGTAAACCCACTAGCTACAATCATGCAGTACAGTGTAGAGTCAGAAAGCAGTTACACCGGTGGCCCCAGTGGCAATAAATTAATACAACCAAAAGCTTACCTTGACTTGGAAGAGTTCCAGTGTTGGATAGCCATAGCCAGCTAGCTAACACACCATCCCTCTCTGTTTGAGCATGCTAAACTAGCTAGCTGCATTCACTAGCTAAGAGAAAGTGCTCCTTAATTTTGGAAGAAATGAATTTGTTCAAAACTGTTCAACTATTGTCTTTCTCTCTCTTGGAGTCAACTACTCACCACATTTTATGCACTGCAGTGCTAGCTAGCTGTAGCTTATGCTTTCAGTACTAGATTCATTCTCTGATCTTTTGATTGGCTGGACAACATGTCAGTTAATGCTGCAAGAGCTCTGATAGGTTAGAGGACGTCCTCCGGAAGTTGTCATAATTACTGTGTAAGTCTATGGAAGGGGGTGAGAACCATGAGCCTCCTATGTTTTGTATTGAAGTCGATGTAACCAGAGGAGGACAGAAACTAGCTGTCCTCCTGGCTACACCATGGTGCTACCCTACAGAGTGCTGCTGAGGCTGCTGTAGACCTTCGTTGCAAAACATCGTGTTTTGATAAATTATTTGGTAACGTGAATATATCTAAAATGGTTAACAATTTTTCACAATTTTTATTAAATTCACTGAGGATGGTCCTCCCCTTCCTCCTCTGTGGAGCCTCCACTGTTTAATACACATAAGTGAATTTGTCACAATACTTTTGCTCCCCTAAAATGGTGGGACTATGTACAAAAGGTGCTGTAATTTCTAAACGTTTCACCCGATATGGATGAAAATACCCTCAAATTAAAGCTCATGGTCCCAATAATTACGGCGGACACTGTAAACCTTTTTTTTTCTTTTCACATGGAGATATGGGAAGCTAAAAAGGCTAGCTGGCTTGCTATGTTTTGAGCCAGGCTAAAGCCAGCTAGCCCAGCTGCCAGCTAGCTACTACTATAATAATATAATAATAATAATAATATTAATATGCCATTTA